AAACAAAATAATGAATAAAGATTAAGAACCATCGCAGCAATTAAAATATAAACTCTTTCACAATTAAACCTCGAGAGTATTTTAACTACGACAATCTCCTCCTTAATATTCTAGAATTACAAACAACCTTAACTATTTGATTTTATGTATCCCTCCTCGATTAAAACATGGAATGTTTCTAATATCTTAAGCCTTGACATTATCCAATACGTGCCCTAAAGGGTAAAAAAAAAAATTACTGTATATTTTTTACGTGAAATGGAATATTGTTACTATGAGACGCAATTCAACAAAATTTAGGGAGATTGATATAAATACTATAAACTATGAGGACTAATAGTGAAAAAGAGGTTGGTCAAGTACGTGGCAATGCATGTGGAAAAGCAATGGGCCTAATGCCCCGGGGTTCCTTGGGATAATGTTGTACACTTTTGAGCCATTAAAAAGGGGGTCCACACGGTGAGCAAATTATTCGTGGGGTGGGACCCTCGGATCAAAAGAAATTGATGGGCAATTTTTATTGGAGGATTATGTAAGTCAAGAAAACGGATATTCTCAAATGGGAACGATAGATAAATCCTAAATATAAGAAACACATTTTAAATTTATAAAACTTCATAAAAATCAGGCGATAAATCAATTTATTAAAATTTTAATTATAATATAATATAATTAATCACACCAAATTTCAAATTAAAGTCCTTCTTTCTCTCTCTACTATCTATCATTTCCCTACCCTTTCTACCCAACGGAGGCGGCCATCAACTCAGGCGACTACTCCGACGATATCTCAAATGATCGCTCCGACGAATAAACTGACCATCGCTCTGATGACTGCTTTGAGGATCGCTCAGACGATAGAAAAACTCCAAAAGGAAAAAAATTTCACTCTCCATAATTTACTATAGAAAATCTCCAAAAATTCATTTGTGACCAAATTTATTGTTCGTGACTATACCTATGTTTCTTGTGACTATTTGTGATCAAATTTATTTTCAATGTGGCCGTCTAATTTGTAATAGTATGTAACAAATTTACTGATCTATGTTATCTGTGATTAATCTGTAACCAAATTTATTTGTGATGTGACTAATTGTAATCAAATTTATCTTTAATGTAATTAACTATGACCAAATTTGTATTCAATGTGATTGTTTGTGACTAGGTCAATATTTAACTATGGTCAGGTCACAATCGATCACAATCAACAAAAAATTGATCACAAATAGCCACAATAAACACATACTTGATCACAGGGGGTTACCACAAGTAAATCTGCGCACACCTCAGACCAATATCACAATCCACCAACCACCACCACCGGCACCACCAACATCATACCATCATCAGAACCACCACCAATCGCCATCGAACCTTAAAGACCGCCATCAACTACAAATCTTAACCACAAAATTTCACGAGCCAACTTAAAAAATGAAAAAAACAGATTTTAACCATCCCAAATCTAAAA